TGTACCTTCTCTCTTCTTTCTCTTTCCTCCCCTCTTCCTTCTCTCTTTTCCCCTCTGTCCCTTCTCTATGTTACACACACAGAGTAATATAAATTAGTTGCTAAATCTTGTCATTATACTTATATATTTCCTACATATGTTCCCTTCTCTCGCTCTTCATAGCTATAGCCTAGTTTGGGCTTTTATCGCTTTTCATTTAGACCATTTCAATAGCCTCCTATTTTCCTTTCTCCCTTGTAATTCATCCCTTGTACAACTGCTAAAATAATTTTTTTAAAGAAAGTTTAACTTATGGGTCTAACTCTAATTAGCAGTTCTTTTCTCAAGAATCTTCAATAGCTTTCTATTGCCTCTAGAAAAAATATAGACTCTTCAGCTTGGCATTTAAAGCCCTTTAACATTTGCTTGAGCATACCTTTCTAGATTTATTTCACATTACTTATTTTCATGTGATGTTGCATTGAAACTGATCTGTTTGCTATTTCTCGAATTCAGCCTTCCTTCTCTAGTGCTGAAAAATATTACTTTTTCATTTCTACCTCTTAGAATTCTTAGAGTTTTTTTCAAGACTAATTTCAGTGCCATGTTCTATAGGAAATATTTTTTCAGCCCTCTTAATCGGTACTGCTCCCTCCTTCCTCGTTATCTTGTACTTTCCTCAGTGCCTGAGGCACCCTTACTCTGGAATTATCCCTGTGGTCTGCTTACCCTGGACTATTTTTCCACAAGGTCCATCCTCATCCCTTTAATGAGTTTTTTCCTGGATCCTCTATTCTGTGGAATGGCCAAGGTCAGGCAGCCTTCATTCTCATCTTGTCCCTGTTAGTGACTTTCTGGATTTCAAAATCATGTTCCCATGCCAGTTTCAAACCCCATTTTAACTTTTTGTGTTGTTTTCCCCCATTAAAATATAAGCTCTTTGAGGTCAGGGGCTGTCTTTCTTTTTTGCTTACATTTTTATCGCTAGGGTTCAGCATAGCACCTGGAACATCATAAGTGCTTAATAAATGTTTATTTCCTTCCTTCCTTGTAATTACTTACTATTTATATGTTCTGTCCCCCAGTAGAATATGTGGTTTGTTTTGTTTGTCTTTTTATCCCTAGCACCTTGCTCAGATCTTTCACATAATAAATGCTTATTTAATTTAATTAAATAAATCCATTGCTATGTGTATGGAAGTACTTATTACCAACTCTAAAGAAAAGAACCTTTTCTGTGTTGATAGATTTTTAGTTTTTAAGAAGCACAAAATGTTTTGTTCTTAACAGTATACTAAATCTTAACATTTAGTGACTTTATACCTAGGTTTTGGAGTTAGAAGAGATTTTTGGATATCATCTGAGCCTGTTCTTTCCTTTTACAAATAAGAGAACTGAGAAATCGAGAAGTCAAAGAACTTGTACAAAGATTTTACCCTTTATCCTCTTACTCCAAATTCAGTGTTCTTCCTATTTAAACTGTGTTTTTATTCATGCCTTAAATCTGTGTTGCTATGTTATTTAGCAGTGGAATTAAGCATTTTATTTATTATGTAATTTTATGTGGCATCCCTCTGTTTGACTTCAACATTCCCTTTAAATACAGAAATTTTAAGAGAGGATTCTGGGAAGATGGTGGAGTAGGTCAGAAAATTCCAAGCTCTCCAGATTTCCCCCACAAACTAGATAAAATAGTGCCTTAGAGCAAGCATAGATTGGTAAAAATAAATAAGAATAGGGGCAGAGAGGTGGTCCTCCTGGGACAGTTGGAGAAGATCTGAAGAAAAATCCCAGGATGGAGTTTGGTCTCTGTGAAATATAAATGCCTCCAGGCCAGTTCCACTTAAACCACAAGTGGTGAGCCCTGAGTTAGTTGGGTTGTGAGACAGCCTTAACTCCAACCACAGAAACTTTTACCCCAAGGACAGTAATTTAGGGCATCTGAGCTGGGGAAGATTGAGGAAGTATCTGTTGACAAGGAATGCCAGACCTAGCCTTGCTGAAGAGACGTGGCCCTGGGCAAGATGGTACAGAAGTAGCGGCAGGGACACTGCTGGCTGTGGGCAATTACTGGAGGCTGGAGGTCTTGGTTTCTCTTTCAGGCCAGAGGGGATAACTGAAGAATCTGAGGCCAGAGGCACCATCCTCTATTCCCCAGAACTAGAGATGATTACAAATTTAAAAAAAAAAAAGAGCAGGCAAAAGAGAATTCAATAATAGAAAGTTACTAGGGGAATAGAGAAGACTGGAGTTCATCTTCAGCATCTGAAGCAAAGAAACCCTATTCTACTCCAAAGAATAAAGTCAAAGGGTCACCTGCCCAAAAAGAATTCATAGAAGAATTTTTAAAAGACTTTAAAAATCAAATGAGAGAGATTGAGAAAAAAAACTATAAAAAAAAGAAAAGAAAAAAGAACAAGAAAAATAAGAAGAGTATGAAAAGAAGTCAGCTGATTAGAAAAGGAGATCCAGAATCTTATGGAAGAAAATGACTCCTTGAAAATCAAAATTGGGCAAGGGGAAGCCAGTGAAGTCATAAGAGACCAAGAAATAATAAAACAAAATACAAAATATGGAAAAATAGAAGAGAATGTAAAACATCTGATAAGAAAAATAACTGATCTCAAGAATAGATCAAGGAGAAAAAACAAGAATAATTGGAGTACCTGGAAGCTACAATAAAAAAACAATTTTGATACAATAATACAAGAAATAATTTAAATTTTTCTGAAGCATTAGAACAAGAGGGGAGAGTAGAAATAGAAAAAATCCACTGATCACCACATGAAAGAGATCCTATGAGGAAAACCTATAGGAATATCATAGCCAGATTCTGAAAACCCCAGCTCAAGGAGCAAATATTATGAGCAACAAGAAAAAAAAAACACCTAAACATAGTTTAAATAGGAAGAACACTGAATTTGGAGTAAGAGGATATAGGGTGAAATCTTGGTGGATGCTACAGTTAGAATCACATAAGACCTAGCAGTAGTGACACTAGCCTGCTATATATACACATATATATGTGTGTGTGTATGTGTATGTGTGTATATATATATATATATATATATGTGTATATATATATATATATATGAGAGTTCTTTTGCTCTTTAATATACACACATACATACATACATATAGCCACTATATATTGAAAAACAAAAGAACTCGGATTCCCACTAAAAATATCATACCCAGCAAAGCCAAGCTTAATCCTGAATGAAAAAAAAAATGGACAGTTAATGAATTGTCAGACTTTCAGGATTTTGTTTAAAAACAACAACAACAACAACCTGAACTTAACAGATTTGACATACAAGAGCCAAGAGAAATATAAGGTACATACCAAAGACTAATTACACGGGACTCAATAAGGACAAACCGTTTACCTTTTTTTATAATGAAATGTAAAACATATGTCTAAGATTGTTATTAGTAATTGGGTAGTTCATAAGAAAAATTGGAGTAGACCTCAGTATGATATGATTTTAAAAAGGAAAACTGTTTAAGAATAGCTAAAATAGTAATTATCTTGTATAAATAAAGTGTGAGAGGAAGAACCAACACAGTGGAATTAGATGGGGGAGGAGGGCTATCAGTTATGTAAACCTATTTTTGTCGAGAATGGATTCAGGAGGGAACAATACATATATAGCTAGAAGAGTCTAAAAGTCTTCTAAATTAAGAAAGAAATAAAATGCTAAGGGGATGGGGAGGGAGGAGAGGAAAAGGGAGATCTTTATAGGAGAGGGTGGGGAAATAGGTTAAAGAGGAGTATAGAAGGGTGTTTAGACTAATGGGAATGGGAGGATAAGGGAGGGATCCTTGGAGGGAGGGTAGATTAAGTGATAGGAGGGCAGGGCAAGGTTGCAGGTAGAAATAAAGTAGAGGAGTCAGGAGGGATAGGAAATAAGAGATACACGCAAATATAAAATAAAGATCAGGAGCAGAATTTGTTAGGGAAGAAGTAGAAAGGGTGGTAATCATGATCTCAGACAAAATTAAGGCTAAAATAGATTTAATCAAAAGAGAAAGTTAGGGAAACTACAGTGTCAGCCATATTCATCAACATTTATTTGGACTATTTAAAACAACTACCAGGGGTGGGGAACCTTCAGCCACATGTGGCCCTCTAGGTCCTCAGGTACCACCCTTTGACTAAATTCAAACTTCATAGAACAAATCCTCTTAATAAAAGGATTTGTTCTGTAAAACTTGGGCTCAATCAAAAGGCCACACCTGAGGACCCAGAAGGCCACGTATGGCCACAGATTCCCCATCCCTGAACTAGACAGTATAAGGTTGGAATATTGCTGTGGTATAGGAAATGACAAGTTGGTGAATTTGGAAAAGTATGGGAAGACTTAGACGTATTTATGAAAGAAGAGGTTATTCACCCTTAGAGAAACAGAGGACAAATAAGTATAGTACAGTCTTACATAGATACATATGAATGTATATGTCTATATATAAATATAATTATAGATATCTATATATATATGTGTAAGTAATTGTGTGTGTATATATGTACAGGTATATGCATGTTTATATGTGTATTTCTTTGTGTGTATATGTCTACATATGTATGTGTGTATGTGTATATTTTTTATATATTACAAACACACGCACACAAACTTGTGCTTAATTGTGGCCTTTGGGAGGTGGGGAGAAAGGGGGGAAAAAGAACAAAGTAAAAAGTGCACAGCAGAGAACAAAAGAAAACTTGAAGCAAAGAAGACATAGATATCTCTCAATACAATGTGTAGTATTTATTATATGTATTTATATGGAAATTTATTGCTGTATATTTTCAGTCCTCTCTTATGTTCTGCTGTGCCCATGGCAATTTTTTTTCTCATTTTATATTATTTTAGTTTTAGTATTTGTTTGTTTCTTTTTTCTTTTCTTATTTTGTTTTTAAGTTTAAAGTATACAAAAAAAGAAATTTTAAAATCTTATTTTGATCTTTGTGGATAATTACATTATGCTGTTTATAAAAGGAGCAATATCTTTCATTTTAGATTCTGATCATCTAGAACAACAATTGGAAGAAGCTAGTTCTATGAGGCGAGAACTAGATGATGCTTCTAGACAAATCAAGGCTTCTGAGAAACAAATAAAAATGCTAAAGCAAGAAAGAGAAGACCTTAATAAGGTAAAAAGCAAGATTTTATTTTCACATCTTTCTGAATTCTCCAGCTTTTTCAAATAGCATATTTAAACTATTTCACATTTCCACTGCCCTGCTTCAGTGGCTACTCACAGCTTACCAAAAAAAGTCCAAGCCTCTGATAAAGGTTTAGTATGGACCTAAGCCTTCATCCAGCCTTATCTCATCCTGTTCTTTTACATACTCTGTGCTTTAACCAAGCCATCCTGGTCTGCTTAGTACATACCTCTGCATTTGCTAATGTTCTTTTTATTCTGGAATTCCTCATTGTCTTGAAAATTAGATCGCATACTCTAAGCACTTAATAAGTGTGTTGGACAGAAAAAATCAAGAGGAATAAAAATAAAATTTCTGTATACTTTGCTGATCTGAATATATTTTTAAAATGCTATAATTTAGTATTCTTTTAGTATATTTTTGCTGACTTTTAAAATGCAATGCAAATTTAAAATCCCACATGTTGTATCTTTCCTTCCTCCCCAAAAATAACATATGTACATTTCGAAATGAATTTCTAAAATCATGTATTAAACCCATTTATCATTTAAAACAGTATTTAAGCTAAGATATAAAGAAAATTTCATATTCTTTTTTAAATTTCCCAGTATCTTTAAAAAATCATAATTTACATGATGAAGCAGAAGAGTTTTGTAATATAACAAAAATGTTTAGAAAAATAGGAGTTTGGGGGTGGAACCAAGATGGCAGAAAAAAGGCAGTGAGCTCTTAATTGAGCTGTCCCAATTTCCACTCCACACACCTTTAAATAATACCTCAATATGAATTCTGTAGTGGCAGAAGCCACAAAAAGATGGGGTGGAACAATTTTCCAGCCCAAGATAACTCAGAAGATCAGCAAGAAATGTCTTTTTCGCTGGGGTGAGAATGGAGTGCAGTCCAGCACAGGCTGTGCTAGTTATAGGCTAGGCAAACAAGTAGCATGCCTCAGGAGATGACTGAATCAGTGGCAGTAGCAATGGCTTCCAGAGCTTGCAGACCACAGACAGTAAGGGGTCAGACTATTGGTCAGAAGGAGATTACAGGGGTACCTTTGTTGGTATTGGGTGCAGAACTGTGTTGCTTGTCCACACTGGGATCTAGGTCACAGTCTTAGGGTGAGGAGTTGCTCTAGCAAAGCAGAACTTACCTCTGCAGGGCACTGGGAGACCCTGGTAACAGTTCTAGGGTAGAAAAGAGTGCTTGTGCATTTGTATCTAATGGTCCTATCTTGGAGGGCAGGGGGGAATAAATTTACACGATAACTTTGTTAAATATTCAGAGGGAGTAGAAAGTGGTAGATTGTAGATTTGCAGTTTCATGTGCAGTCATCTTTTTTATTATGCTGTGTTATGGAAATGCTTATTTTTTCCATGAATTGAAAATAAAATTTAAAAAAGAAAGAAAAGAGTGCTTATGGTTTAACATGGAGCAGAGCATAGACCAGGAGAATAGTAAACACACCTCTCCTTAGATCATACTACCCTAGAAAAACTGAAAACTTACAGACCCCCCACTCCTTCACCCCAAAACTAGTCCTGAAAACAGCTGCACAAAAAACCTAAGGTTTGGGACAGTGTCCCCTCCACCCTGGGAGCAGAGCCCAACTTTAACATGTTAAGTTGAAAGTCAAGAAGTAGTCTAGAAAAATGAACAAACAACAAAAAGAACCTTACCATAGAAAATTACTGTGGTGAAAGGGAAGATCAAACAGAAACTCAGAAGGCAACAAATTCAAAACTGCTACATCCAAAGCTTCAAAGAAAAATATGAACTGGTCTCAGCCCCAAAAAGTTCCTGGAAGATTTCAAAAATAATTTTTTAAATGAAATAAGAGAGGTAGAGGAAAAATTGGAAAAAGAAATGCGAGTAATATAAGAAAGTCAGAGGGAAAAAAAGAAAGTCAGGGGAAAAGTTAACAGCTTGGTAAAGGAAGCACCAAAAAATACTGCAGAAAATTACATCTTAAAAATCAGAATAAACCAAATGGTAAAAGAGGCACAAAAATCCACTGTAAGGAAGAACTCCTTAAGAAACAGAATTGGCCAAATGGAAAAAAATATACAAAAATTCACTGAAGATAAGAACTCCCTAAAAAGCAGGATTGGCCAGTTGGAAAAGGAGGTACAAAAGAAGATAATTCCTTAAAAATTAGAATTGGGCAATGATTTAGCACAGTCCCAAAGAACTAATGATGAAGCACACTATCTGCCTCCAGAAAAAGAACTGATATTGTTTGAATACAGACTGAAGCATGCAATTTTTCACTTTCTTTCTTTCTTTCATTTCTTTCCTTTTGTTTGAGTGTTCTCATATGAAATGACTAATATGGAAATGTTTTATATAATTGCACATGTATAATCTGTGTCTGATTGCTTACTGTCTTAGGGAAGGGAGAGGAAAAAGAGGGAGAGAGAAAATTTGGAACTCAAAACTTTAAGTAAAAATGTTGAAGATAAATTAGAATAGGTAGGTAGAATCTAATGACTCCATGAGACATCAAGAAATAGTAAAACAAAATCAAAAGAATGAAAAAAAATGAAGAAAATGTGAATTATCTCATTGGAAAACCAACTGACCTGGAAAATTGATGGAAGAGAGGTAATTTAAGAATTATTGGATTGAAGGCAGGAGCCAAAATGGCAGAGTAAGCTATAAATCGCTGTAGCTGTCCCATATTTACAATAGCAACCCAGAATAAATCCTAGAGCAGCAGAGACAGCAGAAAGATGGGGTAGAGTGGCCTTTTAGCTTGAGAGACTTGGAGGATTGGCAAGAAAAGTTCTTCTCACTTGGGTAAAAGGGGAGTGCATTACAGGACAGGAAGCATCCCAGCAAGCCAGCAGCAAGCCCCACCTCATCAAACTAGCAGGAGCCCCCGCATGGTGGAACAGGGAAATACCAACAGCAAGACCCCCCCCCCATGTGTCTTAACATGGTCAGGGGAACCAGCAACTATAGCTCTGAGAACCAGCATATGTGTCATTGTAGCCTCAGGCAGGCAGGTGTACTCCAGTGGCCAGCCTCCACATATTTCATCACAGCCCTGGGCAGATGGGCATATTCTGGTGGCCTGAGTGTGCTTCAGTACAGCCCCAGGCAAATAGGCATCCTCCAGGGTCCAGATCTCCATGTGCTTTAGTGTAGCCCTGGGGAAATGTAGAAACACCCCACCTGGCCTTTGCAAAAAAGCCCCCTGCCTCCCCTCCCCCCCAAAAAAAAAAAGAATCTGGCTTATAGAAAGTTATGGTGACACAAACTCAGAAGAGGACAAAAATGTCAAAACATCTATGGGCTAAACCCCAAAGAAAAACAAGAAGTGGTCTCAAGCCCAGAAAGAACTCATGGAAGAGCTCAGAAAGGAGCTTAAAAATCATATAAGAGAGGTAGAAGAAAAGTTGGGAAAAGAAATGAGAGTGATGCAAGGAATTATCCAAAACAACTCAACAGCTTGGAAAACTGCTAAAAAAGTAGAATTGGCCAAATGGAAAAGGAGATACAAAAATCCACTGAAGAAAACAGCTCCTTAAAGAGTACATTTGCGGGGCAGGTAGGTGGCACAGTGGATAGAGCACCGGCCCTGGATTCAGCAGGACCTGAGTTCAAATCCAGCCTTAGACACATAACACATACTAGCTGTGTGACCCTGGACAAGTCACTTAACCCCATTGCTTAACCCCAAAAAAAGAAAAAAGAGTACATTTGGCCAAATGGAAAAAAAAGCACAAAAGCTAATTGAGGAAAACAACACCTTAAAAATTAGAATTGGGCACATGGAAGTTAATGACTCTATAAGACATCATGAATCAATCAAACAAATTCAAAAGAATGAAAAAAATGTAAAATACCTCGCGTGAAAAGCAACTGACCTGGAAAATAGATGCAGGAAAGTGAATATCAGAATCACTGGACTACCTGAAAGCCTTAAAAAAAAAAAAAAGGAGGACCTGGAAAATATCTTTCAAGAAAACATCAAGGAAAACTGCCCTGAGGTCCTGGAACCAGAGGGCAAAATAGGTGTTGAAAGAATCCACCAATCACCTCAGGAAAGAGATCCCAAAATAAAAACCCCAAGGAATATTATAGGCAAATTTCAGAAGTATAACGTCAAGGAAAAAATACTAAAGTGGCCAGACAGAAACAATTTAGAGATTAGGGCGTCACAATCAGTATCTCACAGGACTTGGCAGCTGCAACATTAAAGGATTGAAGGTCTTAGAACATGATATTCCAGAGGGTAAAGGAACTAGGACTACAATCAAGAATCACTCACATACCCGGCAAAACTAAGCATAATACATCAAGGGAAAATATGTTGACTTGACAAAATAGAAGGATTTCCAGCCTTTGTAAGGAGAAGACCGTAACTAAACCAAAAATTTGACATCCAGTATCAAGACCCAAGAGGAGCATAAACAAGTAAAAAGGGAAAAGAAAACAAAAGGGGTTCAATAGAGCTAAGTGGTTTACATCTTTATACGGGAAGGTGATACTTGTAACTCTTAAAAATTACATCACTAACAGTACAGGTAGAAAAAATATACCTAGACAAGAGGGTATGGGTATAAGGTGAATTGGAGGGAATGACATAAAAAATTAAGGAATGAGAAAGAGGAGTACCCTAAGTCCAGAAGGAAGGGAGAAGTAGAGTGGGGTAAATTATCTCACATGAAGAGGCAAGAAAGACCTATTACAGTGGAAGGGAAGGGGGGACAGTGATGGGCATCACTTGAACCTTACTGTCATCAGTATTGGCTCAAAAAGAGAATAATATACACAGTCAGTTGAAAGAAATCTATCTTATCTGACAGGAAAGAAGGAGGGAAAGAGATTAAGTAAAGGGGGGTGGTGGGGATTGACAGAAGGAAGGGCAGATCAGGAATGGTAATAGACGGAGGGTAGAGCCAAGATGGTGGAGTAAAAGCAGTGACTTGCTTGAGCTCTCCCTCAAACCCCTCCAAACACCTATTAAAAAATGGCTCTAAACA